ATATGATTTTGACCCACGTGAATTTGTGTAAATACATAGAACACAAATATTCACATCACATGATAATAAACAATGGCTAAAAAGAGAGTAGTGTGGGAGTTTTGAAAGCAGATGTATGACTTCTTCTAAAGATTTTAAGATTCTCTGTATAACTCTACCTTTTTCAGTCACCATTCCAAAAACAAAACTTTGTTTTATAATTTTTACTCTAACTTTCAGTGCTCCCCCCCTCCGCTAAAAACAAACTATTTCTTGAATCTGGCATTAAGCAGAAAAATCCTGCACTGCTCTTTTGGCAAAAGGTAATAAATGCATTACTGTCAGAAAAACAGAGTAAGACTAAGTGAATAAAGAGTAACACAGATGATAAAATCTGCCATCTGAGTTAACAGGGATTCAGTTAATGAGAAGATCTTCCATACCACACGAGTAAAGCAATACTATAATGACATAAACACTTACCAGCAGTGGCTGCTTGCATCCAGATTATTATGTTATGGCTACAATGCTGAAGCTAACAGTCGGAGGGCTATTAGGCACATCATTTAACAAAAAAACAGTGTCAGACAAGGACTGTTTTCTAAATAAACTAAACTAATTCACAAAAATCAATCTGGACAAATGATTTTATAAATGATAAACAACATTTGTTATTAAAGCTCAGCCTCAAATGGCTTCCTGCTTCAATAACTGGTGATAAATGGTGATGTGTTGTCTACAGGTCTTAGTGTCTCCAGGATAACCCAGGTTTACCCTCCACACACTGTTAATTTTCAGACATGACTCTCCTGTGTCTGTCTTCATCAGTGTCAGAACGTAACCAACAGCGAGCTTTGAGGTGATGCAACAGGCTCTCTGGCAGCCAGAACGGAGGTGTTCAGCTCCTGGGCTCCAGCAGCAGTGAAAAGCTGGTTGCTTTGTTCATGCACACCTGCTGCATGGGTGTTATCTTTCTGTGTATCAGAGAGAATATTAATTTGTACATAGTTATGCTAAAGCTAAGATGAGACAACTTTTGTTATTTACACAGATTAACTAAAAACACTTGCTGATGCTTGGAAAGCTTTTTTACAAGGTGAACAAACATCTTGGCTCGAGCCAAGTTAAGCATTTTATGCGAGTGAAACAGAGAAAAAGACAAAGACAGAAGCATTTGTTTCACCAGTGAACAGCAGGTTAACATCTACAGTTTTATATGTAACTGTTGCATCAACTCAACCTCATCAGGAGCATGTCTCTGAGCTACATGTTGCTGCTGAAGTTCACTTACAGCATCGATATTAAACCAGAGCCCTTGATATAAAGAATTATGACAATTGGTACAGAAATGGACAATATCATCATGGTGCCTTGCTCAAAGGGACAACAGACACAACTGGGAATAGAGGGGCTGGTCGTTGATAATTCATTATCCAGACAATCTCTGAATTTGTCTGAATTTTATGGTTACACCCATTTTGTCACAGTGTTAATCCTCTAACTACCAACACCACACCAGAGTACTACTGAACAGCACGCTACTCTAAATGTACCACCATATGTTGTAAAGTAACTACACCAGAGCTAAGTATAAGTACAGTATACTTCCTTTCAAAACATCATTAAAATACACTGACAGGATGAAGGGGAGCTCTGTGTGTTTGTGTATAGATTAAACTACACTACTTAAACCCATATTAATATTGTACACACCATTTTTCTCCTACACATACATCTGTTTTGTGTCATCATATGACAATTAAATGTTCCTAGATTCCAAATATGACACATGACATGTAGATCAGTCCTAATTCTAGAAAGACACATTAACAGTCAAAACATGGCAAAAAGAGAATCATTATCAGATGGAGGAGAGTCTCAGTCCTAGCACACATCACTAGGATCACAAACCTGTTTATGAGAGAAGCTGTCATTCCAGAGACTTCAGTGTACAACTGTGTTGTCCACACAAATTGTAGATTGAAAACTGGAGTCCTGGCTGCATGCCAGTCCAGCTGCTGACATCAGGAAGTCTTCAGCCTTATTACATGTCAGCAGCTGTTGTGGAAGATGTGTACATCTCATTAGTGTCCACTGTTTGAAATCACAGCTGTAACAGCCACTTTGTGCCCCACATCACAAGTGTTGTTCAGTTCAGCTGGGGACAACCAACAACACACCTGACAGAAACAGATCAATTGTCCTAAAAGATCTGATTCGCCCCTGGTTGCCTGGAGGTTCCATCATCCTCCCTCTCTGATCGGTGTTTATAAAGGTCACATGGCATGAGAGGGAGGGGCTGTCCCTGCTCTGCCAACACTGACTCATAAGGCGGTGCTGCCTCCAGTGGTAAGGAGATGGATGCAATGGGTTGTTGCTCTTGCTCTTGTAAGCCCAGTGAGTAGCTGGAGGGGGAGAACCATGAGGCACTGGTCGAGGGCTCTCCACAGAACTGAGAAGGATCCAGACTGCTGTAGCTAGGCTGCTCCTCCTGCTCTGCCCCTCTGTGACAGGGGTCCAGTAGGGAGTAAGGAGGCGGGTCATCTGTGGGTATGTAGATCTGAGTAGAACCAGGGCCAACACACTCACTGTAACTACGGAGACAGAGGCAAATCATTAACACTTACAATAGCACAAAGAACCCAAACCCTAACACGATATTTTATGATCATTTCTTTCAGGTGTTAGCAGCATTTTATGTCACAAGAACATCAGCTAGCAAATTAGAAATAAGAAGCTTTTTTGTTTGTTTTTCCAGGAATTAGGATTGTGGAAGTTACAGTTGCATCTATTTATTTTCCACAACCAGTGTTAAGGCTGGAACAGGCAAAAAGACTCTCATCTGAATCATCAGTGAATAAAAACCTGTGTTATAAAATATCTGGTTACTTGACAGACAGCTGAAGGGAGAAATCAACTGTAACTGAATATTATATTGGAAAGAAACATCGAATCACCAAGTGTAAGCTACAGATTACACTTTGTACAAACATAATAAGACATCCAGCACTTTAAAGTGGGCCACTTTAGGATTTTAATGAATACCAGTGTTTCTTTGTGTACCCATTTCTATTTTGAATATTGTTACATACTGTTCAGTGTTGATTAACTATACTGACTACTGCTAAAATAAAAATTTGTGTTGTGAAAGTACTTCTAGAACAAGTTATCCATTTTAATGTGCAACTCTGTTACAGTTTGTAGTTTAGTGAACTGATTCCCACTGACCCAGCTCGGATGTCACAGCTGCAGTAAGTCTATGATACGTTATGTGCTGACAGCTGTCTACTTTCATCTGTCTCCACACTGACAGGGACACAAAGCAGTCATCAGTGAAAATGTTTGTGTAACGACATGGGAACAAATAGCTACTGTCTTCAAAACATATCTGCATACTGTACACCTTTATTTGTGATATATCAGACCCCATAAACCCACACAAACTAAATCCATACATGCAATGCTGCACATAGTGTATTACACTCTGCAACTTGAAAGCTTCATCCATGGTATGAGACGTCATCGCTTAAAACGTGTGCAGAAAATATCCCTTCCAGCAAAGGTCAGGACATGTATAACTTTTACCTGCATGTTTTAAACTCCCCTCAGGATATTTCTCTTCTTGTTTTGGAGAGGTTTGAGGCTTAGACTGTTACAGAACAGCCTGTCAGAAATGAGTGAGAAGTCACAAGTCTCGCTCGAGGACACTTCAGAAGGCAGGGTCAAGGACAACTCTTTCTGTTTACTGCAGTTCACTGCAGTCAGTGAAAAACCAAACTTAAAACCATTCTGAATATACAGTATTTTATGCTGTGTACTATAATACACAGGAAAGCTTAAGTTTTCATGTAGAAGGTCTCTTCGACATTATCAGACATTACAGTATAATGTAATATAAGTAACATTAATAAAGTCACAGGCAGCTGTGTGGTTAACCCAACTACATTTTAAGAAGATGCATGTGTATGAAGGCCACGATATGCTAACCCCTGGACATAGGAATAAAGCTTAACCTCTCACACTAAGGTGGCATATTTGAAACATATTAAAGCTCCAAACACTGCTTGAGGTTTTCCGGCGGACATATTCATTTAGTAATTGACTACCATGCACCTGCGAACAGAGTTCCCTGCAGACATCCCTCTCACATGTTATTATTTCAGGATAAGACCCCAAAACCTCCCAAATAATAACAACGTGCATTTACAGACAGCTACCTCCTTAAACCCTCAGATGTTACTGTACTGAGACGTTTTTATGAACCAGTACACTCTGGCTTCCTGGGCTTTTTGGTTTTCTCTGGGACCCGTTTTTATAGCTTCGCTGACACATGGATCGATGCTGATTTTTTTTTTTAGTAAAATACTCTAAATACTCTATTATGGCAATTACACCAATATGTCAAAAAGAATGCAATTTTTTAAAGTTGATGTTAAAATGTTACTTGTTTCATAATCAATATGGAAACTAATCAGCAAGAATTGATAAAATTATCAGCCTCCTTATGTTCCTCACACACCGTGACACTCACAGATCAACTCCCCCAGCAGCCCTGGATGTCACAGAGAGAAAGAACAGAATAAAACCAAAGAGAAACCAGAACAATAAAATAACAGGGTGTATGTGTGTGGAGATAATGGTAGATGATGATGGGGGCATAGGAAGCAGTAACTCAGTGTAACTCAATCAGTGGTTAACTGCATCAGTCTGCTACCACAGCACTGCCACTGTGTGCGTGTACAGTATGATGAGCTGAGGTTCTGCCTCTCTTTCCTCTGTTTCTTTCTTTCCATCTCTTTCTGTGTATTTTCTACGGCTTCTTCGCTGGCCTTTAGTGAGTGCTTTTTTAAATCAGGAGTTTGAGAGTCGCTGTGGTTTCTTGTTAAATGTGTCTGTGTGTTTGTGTGTGAGAGAGAGGGAGGGGGACGGCTATTTAAGACTTGATGAGAGTCGATCAGAAAGATCTAATGTTCACTGCAGCCACTGTTTGTTACCACAGACACCCAGACACATACACACATACAGTGCTGCTAAAGGGGAATGAAAGAGTCCTGTCCTGTGATCTGCTGACCTTTTACAGAGCCATCACTAATCAGTGTGTTTTCTTTACGCTCATTTAATTACACTACACATTTTAATTAGTTACTCACTGGTCATTTGTCTAAACAAACCAGATGGAACACACTTTTCTAAGCCTCAGTGACTGGTTCAGAGAACTACCACCCTTCTAATTCCAGTTAAAACTGTGGCCAAACCTGTGGGGATATGAAGACACACGGGACCAATTGCTATGAAACCAAATGTTACCACCTGAAGATTTACTTACCTCTTTTATTATAACCCCTGGTTCTAAACTCAGTGCTTCTACATTGTTATGGTATAACTCTGGTGTTGTCAGCTAAAATGTAACTGTTGTGATGTCTTTGTATAGAAATGATATACACACACGCCTACACACATGCACAGGTGCAGACCAATACACTGGGGGCAGCTACATGTTTTTCAGCTTGCTAATTATTTTCTTTTGATTTGGGAAAACCGACTTCAGACATTTATGCCACTCACGGGTGTTGAGGTGAAAATTGGAGACAGGCAAAGCGTGCACTAAGCAAGATGAGGATGTTTCGGAGGTGCTGTAAGACACTGTGAATCCCAGTGTCCCTGGTCTCTCAGGAGCAATGCACTGCTCTGCTTCCCTGAGACCTTCTGCTGTGTGTGTCTGTGGTTCAGAGAAAATCTCACACTAGATAATGAACGTGATGCTTATGTGTATCCTGCTAACGTGTGTGTGTCTGCGAGTGTGCTAGCTAGGTGTGGCCGAGCGAAAATAATTTGTTCCCTCTGAGACGGGAGGTACACAACTGCTTCTGCTTATCTGTCCATGTGTGTTTTTTGTCTGCTTTCCTCTTCTGTTTAAGCTCCAGACTCATGACATAAATGACACTTAACATAAAAGTTGCTAATTACTTAGTCACCTAAGAATGTTATCTCTCAGTGGCAGAACAGTTAATTGAGATGTTCAGTGCTGCTGCTGTCTGAGGAAACATCCACTTTTCTAGCAGGAGTAAATGTATTTTTGTTGATGAAGTGGCTCTACATCCTCTACTACCCAAACAACATAATTAATAAAGTCTTGGAAGTGTGCATGCTGTGTCTTGCTCATAAAGCCTTGCTACCCACTATTTGTTACAGTTTTACACCACAGTAAGTCCCATCGCTAGGTACTATGAGAGGGGTTTATCCCCCGGATAACCCATCGCTCCTACTGTACCAACAGTCATTGCTGGTTACTTTAACAAAGACCACAATCTTAAACAAGCAGTTTTTGTGTCTAAATTTGAAATGGTTTTTGCCATGACAGAGAAAGTGGGATTAATCAGATCCCCATACACCAGGCAGTAAAAAAGGAGGACCTCTGGCACAGATTCATGCACTGGTTATGACGCTCTATAGAGCGGACAGCGTACACCATATGGTCCTCTGTGTGTGACTGTAAATGTGTGTGTGTTACCCTGGCATGTAAACCTGCTCTTTACTACTGTGACAGATTTGATTTCTCAGCACAAATGAGCTCAGAGAAAAAAAAAACACTCTTAAACCTCCCCAAGTTCAGAGAAAGTCTTTAGGTGAAATGTAACAGATTTGCACAGGATTCCTGTTTTATGCATCTAGCTACTTTCATATTCTGCTCTCCATCTCTTTACACTGCCTGTCTGTGGCCACAGGATGACAGGACAACACGGCAGATTTGAAGTGAACAGTCTCACTTGGACTAGGATTTGGTAGAGACCAAAACAGCTAATAGAGAGTAAATATGTCACCAAGTGCATGGCAACACAAATGCTAATGTTGCTCTGTCACATGTTCACCATAAGAACATTATAGGGTGATAATATATCAGTGTTGTTTTCACAGCCTGCTGATTGGCCCCAGTGTGGCCAGAAAATCAGTTAACACTGCTTTAAATGATCTCAGTCACAGGCATTAGTGAAACACAACCAACTACCAATACACATTTTTCTAATCTTTATGCAGCTGTTTGCTTCTCTTTGTTCTTATGCATCAGAAATGAGAAAGATCAGAATGGAAAGTGTGTGTGTCTGTGTGTGTGTGTGTGTGTGCCAAATCTTGCCCAGCGCTTCTCCCTGAGAGGAAGCAGAAGCTTTCAGCCTCCACAGGTGAGCTGCTGATCCATGAGTGTTCCTGGGCAAGAGAGAATGTGTTTGGATGTGTTTGTGTGTTTGTGTTGGAAGTGTAATGTTCACAGTCCCAGTAGGTGAGCTGTTGATCTGGGTTCTCTGAGTTTCCCTCAACCATCTGTGGCATGCGCGCGCACACACACACACACACACACAAGCCCTTCAGAATCATCACATGACTGCAACTACCTGCTTGTTGACAAAGTGCCAAACAATGACTTGCCAGCATGATGGTAAACAAAATGTGCAATTTGTTTGCATGTTTGTGTGTCTGTGCATACAGTGTGTGTGTGTGTGTGCACTGACATAACTCTCCAGCTCCCCTTTGCTTCCTTATTTTCTTCTCATGATGCTGAGATGTTAGCTGTTACCTTTTCTCATGAATATGTAGCTTAAACCGAAGTGAGGACACAAAATGTGTTATGTTCTGTCATGTTAATTAGCATGTTCAGGATTTTTCATAAAAACTGATTTGATTCATCAGAGGCCTGGCGGTAGCTGTAGCTGGGGATGGGAACAGCTTCTTGGTCCGCATTAGTCCTCGTAGTATCAAGCATCATTTAAAGACCACAGCAAACTTAAAGCCCGCAGCTGACCAGGTGTGCCCTTTCACCAGTGATGTATCTGTCAGCGAATGCACTCTATCTGTGTTGTAAGATAGCACCAAAAACATGACACAAGCTATGATTAAGTCCCCAGATCACAACCCCAGCAGGGACCCTCCGCCACAGATTCAACATGATGAATGTTTGGCCGAAATCCTGCGAGGACTGTGCAACACTAATGTAACAGCATGAATCAAGATCCATGTGGAACATTTCCACTGGGACCATGAAGCTTATGAGCTATGTGTATCTATAATTACATGGCCAGAGTGTGAAGAAAAGAAAATCAATATCAATTTGAGTCCTGTTCATTTTCTGCATAGACACAGGTGACTGGCTGGAGCAGGTTTGCACGACTCCGAAACTGGTCAGGCATCATCGGTAAGAAATTCAGCTTAAACTGTGCGACAACACGAAACATCTAATTCTGTGATAACAGAATGATAAACATTCTACATGGCTGTGCATCTTTTGGGGTTTGACTGGTGCTGTTTTAATCACATCATTTTGTTGCAGTGCTTTACTGGCACCCAGCTGGAAGACTGGTGCTGTCAACTGTTTAACTTGATGAACCAATTCCTAATATTCACATAATGGTAGGTTATATTTTGCTTTGCAGGTTTTCTGGAGAACCTGCTAAATGGCAGGTCAAAATTTGTATTATGTTTCAATGGAAACCTGACTTCAGACTCCCATGGAGCACTTCAGTAAGAAACATCAAGCAAGCATAAAATTCTGTGAATGCACCGCCAACAGTGAGATGAATCTAAAGGTCACACTTTGTAGAAACCTGCAGTCAGCAGTACAAATTGATTCACTTTTAGCCTGGCTTAATTTTAGATGGATTCATCACTGTTTTCTTAACAGTTCTGACAATGAAGCTATTTAAATGGTGAATTTGCTACAGCTGTGATTTCCACCTTTGACTAGACACTTCTTTTTAATATCAGTGACAGCTCGTCGTCATGGGAGGCTCATTGTTAGAATCTGTCATTATAACTGTAACATGATTTATTAGAAATGATGCTGAAATAATCAGTACTGTTGGATATTATATTAACTTATCAAGGGGATTCCTGTGGTTTTATGCTGGTGAATAGTGAGGATATAGGAAAACTTTAAAATGGGAATGAACTAAGGGAGAATAAAAAAAAGATAACGCACTATCTCAAATCCATTGCTTTGTGTAATATGACTGTTTCTAAGGCAGAGCATGGAGAAGACTGAAGCGCACACACACACACACACACACACACAGACACACACACACACACACAGTAGGGGAGGGATGTATGTGAATTATTAAAGTTGCCAATTAGACCAACTGACATTTAGATCAAAAACACCATGACACTGCCCTTTAGCAAGCTCTTTCTTTCTCTCATTCTCTCTCTCTCTCACACACACACAGTGCACAAACACTCAATCCTGCACCCATACAAAGGGCACCTAAGATAGCAGTGGTCTCTAATAAATGATCAGTGGGGGACGCAGCAGAATGGTCAGCTACATATTTGACATTTGATATAACTGCATTCTTATCTTACCAACATACAGTATTATAGCTCGTGATAGACGGGGAAAGGCTTAAGATTATAACTTTTTTTATCTTAATAATTTTACCAGAAAAACATGCCTCATGTCCATTTCAATCATAAGGTTAACAAAAAAAAAAAAAAACCTGCAAAGAAGGACAAGTCCTAATCTGTGTCCCAACTCAGGGGACACATCCTTCAAAGGATGCATTTGAAGACAGATTGAGTCACAGCGACAAGGCCGTCCCATTTCAAAGACTCCTTCAAATGCGGCCGGTTAATAGAGTGCTGTAGTAGTAGTCCTAAAACCCAGATTTTCTGCATTAATCCAAAATCCTATGGAATAGTCCTATTGGCTTTTTGCCAAGGGAACCGGGGTGATGGTAACTTCCAGGTTGGCCTACAGAAAAAACATCATCCCTACAGCACTCTACTATGTCATAACTGTGTTTCCTTTGAAATGTATATGCTGCTGAAAATTAGCACTTACTGTGGAGGTGAGTCGGGGTACAGGCTGTTGACCTGCGATAGTGTTTCCCTGTATGGGTCAAAGTCTAAACCAGGAGGAAAGTCTTCTAAGCAGGTAGACCTCAGTTCTCCTACTGAGCCTCCATAGGATAAACCATCTGGTCCTGCAGAAACAGAGGCATGAAGCTAGATTCCTGCTTGAATCAAACCTTTATCACCTGGAAGCTTTCAGTAACTTAATATTGATTGGATGATAGCCTACAATCTTTATTGTTTGCACTTTTTCCATGTATACAGTCATTTGTCTTGTAAAACCTTTTTCAGAGTAAACACCACTTCAGCTGATGCATCGTGACTGATAGAGCAGAATTAGAAAGGACAGTAATATGAATTAGGAAATTTGTTTTCAGTATCCATCCAGTAAAAGTTCTGGCATAAACTATTTGTTTTTTGAAATATTAACATTCTCTTGGGAAACTGAAAACCTGCTACAGTTACAGCCTGTGTCTGAAGGGGTGGGTGTAGTTAAATTCTGACTTACATGAGCAATGAAAATGTTTGGTGGTATTTCTTCAGTTGTACTGTATGAAGCCCCCACAAAGGATGTTTGCCAGGAATCTCACTCTTAGTACAATCATAGTATGTGTTACTGTTACATGCTACAACACTGTGCATCTTGTCAGATTTGGACTTCAGTGATTTCATTTGTTCCACTGAAGAAAAAAACACATAATGTTTTCCTACAGCCCGATCAACTAACAGCTCTAAGGACATGTCTGAATGCTGTACAGTCTTTTAGTGAGGCACCTTTATGCTGTCTTCATTTGTGTAATTGTTACAATCCTTAATGAAGGCTGAGAGGTAACAGATGGTGTTTTACATATTAGTCAGTCAGTTATTAGTTAGATGGTCATTCAGTTGGTGTATTATTTAAAACAACATGTTGTCAGAAAGTCAAAATTGCAGCCACAGACTGACCGTAACTAGCTCGGAGATGTGGGTTTCTGAGTCGACTGTCTTTGCGCAAGCTGCCAATGATGATGGTGACGCAGGAGAGGAAGAGGACCAGACCTATAACAATCCCCGCCACCACCAGCGGAGACACCAGGAGAGACGCCTCCCCTCCTGACTCCCTCTCACTCCGGCAGTCTGGGTACTCCCCATGGCTCTGGTTGGAGCTCACTGCAGGGAAAAGGAGAAGGTAAGAGTGTAGGTTTGTGTGTTTCACTGTGTGTAAACATGTTTAATCACACTTGAAAATAGTTTGGGAACAGATGTCACCCTTCATTAGTTAGGTTCAGGTGGTACAGTATCATGGCATGGATGACCTGTTGAGAGAGGTTCTACCGTTCTTCACAGACGATTCTTTTGCCGCAGAGATTTTGCTGCGCTACCTTCCACTTTAAAATACTCCATAGGTGTTCTACAGAATTCAAGTCTTGACTTGGCCAGGTTATTGTCTTCAGCTTTTTCCTCTTTAAAAGTTCACACAAAGTTCAATCTTGCACTTTGATGCTGTTTTGTGAACAGCAGTTTTGTCTCCATGTCCATTAAATGTCAGGCCTTAGGTTGAGGGCAGTGCACCATGTGCTACATAACTGGTGCTATGCTCTGCACATATCTTTTTCTTTTTCTCTTCTCTCCCCATCTTTCCATCTCTCCCCAGGGACTTATTCCATACTTAATCCATTTCAGCATGTGACAGATAATTAGAGTTAGACTACACACACACACACACACACACTTTCTCTCTCTCTCTCTCAGTCATCACCATCATTAGATTACAGAACAATCTTGCTCCTCTCCATTTCTGTTTAATGTCTCATCTGTCTTTTTGCTGCCTGGCCACCCTTTGTCTGTTGAACTCCTTCTGTGTTCAGAACACAGCTGAAAGACCAGAGGACGAGACTCTCATTTATTCTTTTACTGTTGCAGTTGCCTTGTTTACACTGCAACCAACAGTGTTCTAATAATGGAGCTGGATCTTTAAGCTTTAGACTGCATTTTGTGTTACTTGTTCCAGGTTAAAATATACTCGAACCAGGAGGTGTGGCTTTGATATGGTACAAAGTTAATCATACACTGTTCAGTCAAGTTCATAACATTGGCATCACAAAGCTGTCAGACTGTGTTACCATCAAGGGCCATCATATCCTTGTTGGCAAGGCCTTCAGGGTGGCGGCTACATGCTGTGAGACCCAAGTTCTACACATCTAGAACAGAAAAACACCTTCAAAATAACTTTAAACACTAACTTTGAAAATTAGAATTAATGTCTATTCAACATTGGTATAAGCTTTGAAAAAATATTGGTCCTGTTCCAGACCTCAAACACGATAGTGGTTTACATTCCAGGCCTCTAGTTATGATTCTGTACTAGTTATGATTCTTGTTCATCAGGCTCACAACAGGGAATAGAGGGACAGTATTATACAGTGACAAAATCACAATGATTTCACAATTAATTCACAGTTAAACTAAACACATACATGTGATTTTTACTGTGAATGGTAAGATATGGAGATGCAATGTGCAAACATTGTTTTTTTGTCAAATGTTTCATTTTTGTGTCTTGATAATTTGCCCAATTTAGAGAAATTATGCATTTCCAAAATCTTATAAACACACCAGTATAACAAGGTTACATCAACTGCAGGACCCAGTGTCATTTTTGCCACTGACTGACCAGGAGTGGCTTGCGTGTTTGAAGACACACTTTCTCCATCTGTCTGCCACTGCACTGAATATGAAGCAAGAGAAACAATCAAAACCTCTAAATGATTTACACTTGCAATATCAATTTCATTTCAGTCTCTGCGCTTCCCTGTTGCTTGTTTCCCCCCCTGAGTGTCTGCATCTGTAATTCTGTTGTCTGCAGTAATTTGGTTTCACGCAGTTTCCCGACACAGTTTCAGGAAACTGTTCTCTCACCCAAAACAATTCCCAGAAGACCATCTTTCCTTTCTCAGTAACATCTCCTCTTTCTTCCTCTCCAATTGTGATTTTGGCTTCATTTTATTGTTTCTCATCTTGTCCTCATAAACTTCATTTTATCTCTGGAGAGAGAATTTATATGGAAATCTATAAATATATGGATTAAAATTGACAAACTTTGCTGACACGCAATTTTAAGCTAAATCTTATCTGTGTATTCTGACAAATTATTCTGCATGTTTACTGTAGAAAATCAGTACAAAAAGCCATAATTATAAAAGCACTAATGCAAGATATGTGTGCTCTCACGTACTGTAATTGATTCCTTCATCCACTTCTTTAAAGTTTGAGTCCCATGGTAAAACAATCTGTTCATCTCCAATCTACAGTACAATAATGTTTTTATTTGTAGCTTTCTAAGCTTTACTCATTGGAACTGATTAATGCTACCTCCTCTCTCACTACGTCATTAACATAACATCTTCTCATGAATAAAGAACAGTTTTGCTTCTTGCGTGTGGCTGTATGAACTCACTGTCCTGTAATGCCACTGGACAAAACCGCTCACTGGATATCTTTGTGCTCTCTTCACTTCTGTCTAATTTAAGACAGAGGAGGACAATTTAAAAGATAAAAAGACAGAAAGAGAAGGTAACTGTAGAATGACAAAAGAGGGAGAAAGCGAGAGAGAGGCAGAGATTGTAACAAATGGTGAATGCGTTACATTTCAAAACCCTGAGGGGAATGGACCCAGCTGCAGAGAGAAAGTGTGTGTACGTACGTGCAGTGGTGACTGTGACTAGTATGAGTCTCAGAGTGTAAAAATATTGGCCCTTCAATGAAATAAATCAGTGTAAATGAACACAGGGAAGCAGTTTAACAAGAAACCTATAAATCATGAGACATTCACCATTAGAAAATGACAAATCTTTTGTCAATTTTTTGCCTTGGTGAAATTGTTCTTTGTCAACATTCATTACACAACAAAGGCAAATCTCTGAAGATGGAAGGTATCATACTATCGAAAACAATCCTCCAGGCACTAGTTACATCTTGGTGTGCCAGGAAAAAAATGTAAACAGGAGTACAGCTGAGGAGAAATGACAAACCAAACTACAGCAGCACTAAAACATACATTAGGAGAAGTACGGTAAATTCATTACTGCTGGGGGAGTATTTCTAGAGCGAAGTTTGGGAAGAGTAAGCTAAGAGTAAGTTTAGGGTCAGGTAAGATTTGACCTTTTTAGCCACAGCCTCTGCAGCAGGACTCTTCCTGCGCCAAAGCAAAATGTTGTGACATGCATGGAGGAGATATGTTTCCTGAAGCAGTATGACTGGCATTCTGCACCCAGCCTTCTTTTGGGAGTTGACAAAAATAATCCCGGACTATGTAAGATATACTGTAGCTAACTGAGGTAGAAGTAGATGAAGGACACTGAAGAAAAACAAATTGCTAAACAGCTCCTGGAACAGTGAAACTGAGAAGAAGCTTATTGAACAATTATTGAGTCGAGAGTTGAGGAATGGAACTCTAGTGTGCATATCAACATGCAGTGCATCATGTTCATATATGGATCTTTAGGGTAAATGTTTTGGTGTCAAAAGTCAAAATATAGGTCCTGCATGTGTATTGGTGTGTGTCCAACCAGACTAGAGAGTCTCGTTTATGTTTGAGTGTCAGAAGCTATAAAGTTTAAGAGCCTGTGATATTGGCTGCTGCTGCATCACTTTGTACGTTAGCTGCATACATTATACAGAAGCATCAAGCAGCTGCACAGATTCACTTGGACAGCTTGTCATGAGGAGTTACAGCCATGTTCTTTATCAATATGAAAAACAGCATCACAGTGGCTGACTGTACATCCACAGACATCAGGATGTTTGATGAGGGACAAGACCAAAATGAATTCAGATCAACTGTGGCGTCTGTTGGTTTTCAGTGAGAGTTAAAGAGGAATGACCGACTATTAAAGGACCATTAAACCTTTTACCAAGTCTTAGTCTGTGTGCCACAAATTATATACATTTCACCTGCACACCAAACATTTTCCAAGCATGCAGTACATGCAGTATGTGCATCTTACAATACAATTATTTATTTTGCCTTCAGTATAAAATAAAAGTCAATGTGCATTTTTGGAGCAGTGCACATGCAGGTCTGTGTGTTTTATTTCTTGTAGAAGTATGATTGCACTCGGATGATTCATGATTGAGTCACAAAAGTCACACTTTGTCGCTCAGTGATGATACAGTACATGGCAGGCAGGAACATTCTTGGAGCTATTGTTCAAAAACGACTGCAACAACAATCAAAAATAAGGACTGCCTCAAATTTACATTTTTAATATATCACATGGCTGATAACAGAACCAGAAACAGACAAGTCACACTTCAGGCATTTCTACCTGCAGTAGTGCAATCAGTACAGGTGACATGTGTAACACTAACCAAGCCCAGTCAAGACAACACAACACTGCAAACAGCACAAAACACATATCAATTAAAAAATAATTAACAAAATACATCTACCCACAAATTACATGGAACCTATCATTCATTTATTCGCCTCCGCCCTCTACCACATTTACATCCTTTCATCCCTACATCGCTCCTTCAGGCAATGCCTCAGTAGACACTGTTAGGGGCAATGCAACGAGCCACTATCGACTTTTCTCTTTTGATAGCTGACATCTGGACTGTGACCGTCTCTCACTTACATACACACACAAACATACCTCTATTTCTTCAAGGTCAGGACAATCTTGTTTTGTTTAAATAAAAATGAACTTTACACACAGTGGACCATGAAGCAGCATAAAGCATTTAGACCATTAGAACATCTGTACTTCTTACAAGTCAAAGCAGCGTGTGTGTGTGTGTGTGTGCGTGTGTGGGCTGAGTTCAATCTGATGATACTCACTGACCTTCAGTCATCTATTTATAGTTACTCTCATTCACTCTCAGCGTTTGCTGTAAACATTTGCTGCCAATACTGAGTGCTTTTTCCTTTTGAGCCCAAGGTAAAGTTGTTGCCAAGCTACATAACTCCTGATCCAGGGAAACTTCAGCTATTTAACCAAATCTCTCAGCACCAAACAAAACACTGTGGCTCAAGCGGATTAATTTAAAGGTTCAAAATAAAAAACTGAAAACAACAAAGTACCAGGTAAAAAGTGTAGGTGTCATTTTATTTATAGAACGGCTTTTGAACACAAGTGTTTTACAAAGTAAAACAGAACCAGACAATC